GAAGAAGAAGAAGAAGAAGAAGAAGAAGAAGAAGAAGAAGAAGAAGTACACCAGCAAGACCAATGACAATTCCCCCCTTCTCTCTCCAACCTCCTCCTCCTCCTTCACTTCACCAATCTTATTTTTCTCTCAATAATAATAATAACAATGAATGGATGAATCAGAATCAATATCTGAAGTTCCCTCTTACTGCTGACTCAACTCCACAACAACAACAACAACAACAACAACAACAAGCCCACCATAGTTATGTCTTCCCTCCTTCAGCCTTCCCTCTCATGCACAGGCTATGGCGGACTGATGAGGGTCATGCCCTCCTGTACAAAACACAACCCAAAGCAGCTATGGTGCTGCCGATGTCCAAAGGACAACCCAAGAGCAGCTATGCCGCTGCTGACCGGTCCGCCATGCCTGACTCTGCCTTGAGCTTCCTTGCTGCAGCGCTACCTCAACTGGGGCCTTCCGGATGCAGCACCCAACAAGGTGATGAAGACGGTGTCCGCTATAGCCAGGTAAGTGCCTCAACACTCTCTTACCATGCCCCTTCTTCCTCCTTCTCAAGATGGACTGCTCGCCATAGCCAGGCTGAGCTCCAGCGGTCCTTTCTCCCTCCAAGCAGCGTTGTACCTCTAGCGCTGTGCTCCAGCAGCATGTCGCCAATCCTTGCACACGACAAATGAGGAAGAACTCTTTGCTCTTCTTGGAGATATAGCGGCCTACCGAGCTCCTGGGCGGTGACTTCCTAGGCCGAGCGGCCTCCTAGCCACCGGTACCTCCTCCCTTTCGGAGGGAAACATCATTGAAGGCTCTGCTATCCTCCGGACAGGCCCTAGACCCGGGCTACTTAAACTGGTACCGGCCTACCTCTAACCTACAACGTACCGCTACTGGGCCTCTAAAAATGCCAACTTTTTGTCTTCTTCTGCTCGGCCTTCAGTACGATACTCATACCACTACTCGAGTGGTACCGGCCTACCTGCTACTCGAGTGTTTCCCCCCTGCTCTAAGTGTCGCGGGCCTACCCCCGCTACTTGACTGTCTACCCCCCCTTCAACCTTGACAGTTACGGCCACAGTTAAGTACTGGCCCTGCGGGGCCTTGCAAACAATAAGTACCCTTGCGGGTCACACACACTCAATCGACAAGCACACAGAGTCACCGACAGTCATGCAAAGCAGCAGGCACGCACACACACACACAAACATGGAAATCACTGCAAGGGGGACCTCCAGCGCATGGCGATGCGGCCGCAGCCGCGGGCGCAGCCCCCGTAGTTCGCTTACCCGTCAAACGACGAAGCCGTTCGACGGGAATTCAACGGAGTTGAATCCATTCCATGGGGATTCAACTCCCGTTCAACGGGTTGAACGGGGGTACAACGGACGGGGTCGAAGACAAACCCCTGTTTTTTTGGTTCACGTCGTCGGCGCCGCGTGCCACGCGGCCGTTGCGCGTGGTCCGTTGAACCGAGTTCAACGGGAACCGGCCGTTGAATCGTTCAACGGGGATTCAACTCGGGACTTGTGCCCGTTCAACGGGTACAACGGAGTTGAAAAAATCTCGTTGCTAATTGAATGGACACACAGAGAAGGGATACCCCATTCTTGGAAGGAAAGTTCTCAAGTAAGACAAAAAATTTTAAAATTGGAATGACATTTTTTAAGATGGAATGAAAATTTGAAATTTAAAAATGTAATTTTACTCTAGAATGATTATTTAATTCTGGGAATTTTTTTTATTGTCCTCCTCCCCCGGAGCCTTCCGTGCCCACACCATCTCCTTCTATCATGGTTATTCGGCAGGACGACGTCACCTTCTTTATGAAGAACATGACGGATCTCTTAGACTATGATCCACCCTGTCCTGACGCTGAGCTCATCCCTCTGGAGTCGGATCCTCCTTCTATCTCCATGACTCCCATCTCTACTTCCCACCCTCCGCCGTCCGTCGAGTCCACCCCGCCGTCGCRCGCTGACGCTGACGCTGAGGAACTCGCACGATATACGACTCACCTGGAGCCCGCAGTTCGTGACCTCATCCGAGAGTACCACGACGTTTTCGCATCGTCGTTCTCATACGCCAGCATCCCACCGATGCGCGACGTAGAGCACTCCATCCAGCTTATGCCTGACTATCGTGTTCATCACCAGGCATCCTACAGACTCTCGATCCCCGAGGCCATTGAACTCAAGCGTCAGCTTGAGGAGCTCCTGAGACTGGGTTTCATTAAACCCAACAACTCCTAGTGGGGTGCACCCGTCCTCTTTGCTCGCAAAGCGGATGAAACTCTCCGTCTCTGCATCGACTATCGCAGTCTCAACCCCTACACGGTTAAGAACAGCTACCGCATGCCTCATTCCGATGAGCTGTTCGACCGCCTAGCAGGCAACCGCTTCTTTACGAAGATTGATCTTCGTAGTGGTTACCATCAGATCTGCGTCGCTGCAGCCGACCAGCCGAAGACAGCGTTCCGATCGCGCTTCGGCCACTACGAGTTTACGGTGATGCCATTCGGCCTCACCAA